TTTTTTTTTTGTTGGGGGTGCCTTTTCACCCCGGGAGGGGTGTTGTGGTACCATCTCAGCTCACTGCAATCTCTGCCTCCCAGGTTCAAATGATCCTCCCACCTCAGCCTCCCAAGTAGCTTGGACTACAGGTGTGCACCACCATATTCAGCTAATTTTTAAAAATATTTTTAGAAGAGACGGTGTTTCACCATGTTGGCCAGGCTGGTCTCGAACTTCTGACCTCAAGTGATCTACCTGCTTTGGCCTCCCAAAGTGCTGCTGAGATTTCAGGAGTGAGCCAGTGTGCCCAGCTACGTAAACTTTTAATGTTAAACTCTGGAGTTTCTAACTATAAATAGGTAACATTTTTTGCCTTTAAATTCTAATTGCTCCCAGTGTCAAATACCCAGTGAAAATATCATTAATAAGGGCTACTAACATTTGAAGTTTTATTTAACATTAGTAAGATTTAATGAGTAGTAAAAGCAATGTGTTTGACTTTCTCATAGGAAGGACTAGAAAACCATTGCCATGCACTTCCAGCCTAAGATATCATAAGCTATGCTTAATAATTTGAAGAAACTCCAAGTCAGCGTGTACAGCGAATCATGTAGGTGGTGCTTTCCCCGAGTTATCATGTAATCTATACCCTAGGAAAATGCCAAAAAGTTACAATTGGGTGGATTGGGTGATTTTCCAATAGAAAGAAAATTCCATCCCATCTTTGTTCTCAAAACATTTTATTTTGCCTATAGGTAAGGGTTTGTAGATCAATAATCTTCTTGATTTCAGCATGAAATTACCTTCTCTTTGCTTGAGTGACTCTGAGTTATGCAGAAGACCTCCTGTTCTGAATCCACTATGTATTTTTTTCTGAAAAGATTTCAATGTATGTTGAAGACAAGGAAAATTATGAAAACTTTTAGTCCTTCGTTGTGTCAAGTTACTGATGTTAGCATGATATACAAATTAGATGGTGATGGGAAACTTGAGCCTGGTTTTATAGGAGGTAATTTTTTTTTCTTCCTTTTTTTGGGGAGGAGTTATGATACAGGGATATAGGCAGTTCTATAAACTCATCTGCTAATAGTTCATATGAAAGCTTTTGACTAGAAAACTTCCATAACAGTGCAGAAGATACAAACAAATGGTAAAACTGCTTTCCATTTGTTTTAACATAACTCCCCCTACCACCCTTTTTCTTTGAGACAGGGTCTTGCTGTGTAGCCCAGGCTGGAGTGCAGTGATGAAATTTTGACATACCACAGCCTCGACTTCTTGGGCTCAAGTGATCCTCCCACCTCAGACCTTCAAATAGCTGGGACCACAGGCACACACCACCACACCTGGCTAATTTTTGCATTTTTTTGTAGAGACGGGTTGTAACCATGTTGCCCAAGCTGGTCTTCTATTCCTGAGCTCAAGCAATCTGTCTACCTTGGCCTCCCAGGGTGCTGGGATTATAAGCATGAACCACCACCATGCCTGGCCTCCCCCTACTTTTTTTTTTTTGAGACGGAGTTTCGCTCTTGTTACCCAGGCTGGAGTGCAATGGCACAAGCTCGGCTCACTGCAACCTCCGCCTCCTGGGTTCAGGCAATTCTCCTGCCTCAGCCTCCTGAGTCGCTGGGATTACAAGCACACGCCACCATGCCCAGCTAATTTTTTGTAGTTTTAGTAGAGACGGGGTTTCACCATGTTGACCAGGATGGTCTCGATCTCTTGACCTCGTGATCCACCCGCCTCGGCCTCCCAAAGTGCTGGGATTACAGGCGTGAGCCACCGCGCCTGGCCTACTTTTTTTTTTTTGATATGGGATCTTGCTCAGTCACCCAGGCTGCAGTGCAGTGGCACCATGACAGCTCACTGCGGCCTGGAGCTCCTCAGCTCAAGTGACCCTCCCACGTTGGCCTCCCCAGTAACTGGGACTACAGGTATTTTCTACCATGCCTGGCTAATTTTTAACTTTTTGTAGAGAAGAGGTCTTGCTATGATGCCCATGCTGGTCTCAAGCAATCCTCCCTTCTTGGCCTCCCAAAGTGCTTGGATTACAGGCATAAGCCACTGTGCCTGGCCAAGACACCCATTTATACCACGATTTTCCTCCTTCTCACTGCTAACAGGTGTGTAGACTCAGACAAGGGCTTTCAGGTGAGAAAAATTAAAGCAAGTAACTTTAGAGTTTTGACTCAATCCAAATAATATGAATACCTATAATATGTAAAGTATTGTGCTATAAAGGAACTTAAGATTTTATAGGCAGATAGTCATCCTGAAGCATTCCAAGATTCTATACTGTATACCTAAATAATAATCCACAGTGATTGCATTTTAACTGGCTTGCCTAGAAGTGAAGTTTCCCCCTACTACTAAGCAAATAGGGAACTATGCTGCTTTCTGCAGTGAAACTCCAATTTTTGCCAACTATTTTATTTTAACCATGGACAAAGAGGTTGAAAATTTTTACAAATAGGGCTAAGTGCAGTGGCTCACAACTGCAATCCCAGCACTTTGGGAGGCCGAATCACCTGAGGTCGGGAGTTTGAGACCAGTCTGACCAATATGGAGAAACCCCATCTCTACTAAAAATACAAAATTAGCTGGGTCTGGTAGCACATGCCTGTAATCCCAGCTACTGGGGAGGCTGAGGCAGGAGAATTGCTTGAACCCAGGAGGCGGACGTTGTGGTGAGTCAAGATTGAGATGGAGCCATTGCATTCCAGCATTTTCACAAGAGTGAAACTCCATCTCAAAAAAATAAACTTTACAAACGATTGACAATCTGTTTAGATTTTTATTTTTATTTTTTTGATGGAGCTTGCTCATATTGTCCAGGCTGGAGTGCAAAGGGATGGTCTCAGCTCACTGTGACCTCTATCTCCCAGGTTCAAGCAATTCTCCTGCCTCAGTCTCTCGTGAAGTTGGGATTACAGGCACCCACTTTCATGCTCGGCTAATTTTTGTATTTTTAGTAGAGATGGGGTTTCACCATGTTGACCAGGCTGGTCTCGAACTCCTGACCTTGGGTGATCTGCCTGCCTCGGCCTCCCAAAGTGCTGGGATTGCAGGCATGAGTCACTGTGCCTGGGCCATTTTGGTATTTTTAAAAGGTGTAACACTTTTCTAAAGAAAATACACCCTTGCTTGTTTTTTTTTTTTTTTTTTTTTAAATAGAGACTGGGTCTTGCCATGTTGCACAGGCTGGCCTCAAGTGATCCTCCTGCACTGGCCCCCTAGTGTTGGGATGACAGGTATGAGCAAGTGCATCCAGCCCTCCCTTGCTTCTTTGAGTCTGTTATCTCTTTCTTCCCAAATTTCCATATGAGAGTTAAAATTGTCTACTTTTTTTTGTTTGTTTTTTTGAGAGAGTCTCCCTCTTGCTCTGTTATCCAGGCTGGAGTGCAGTGGCAATTCTCCTGCCTCAGCCTCTCGAGAAGCTGGGATTACAGGCGCCCACTTCCTTGCCCAGCTAATTTTTGTATTTTTAGTAGAAATGGAGTTTCGCCATGTTGGCCAGGCTGTTCTTGAACTCCTGTCCTCAGGTGATCCACCTGCCTCGGCCTCCCAAAGTGCTGGGATTACAGGCGTGAGCCACCGCACCTGGCCTCTGCTCACTTTGCAAGGTTAACTTAAATAACTTTTTCTTCAGGAACGATTTTGTTCCTCAAACCACTATAATTTTTCCTGACTCCTCCAGAATTCTTACTTTTAACCCCACTTTTTGCTTCACTTTCATTTTGGGAGCTAGGAGTATTTTAAACATTTTTTTTTTTTTTTTTTGAGACGGAGTTTCGCTCTTGTTACCCAGGCTGGAGTGCAATGGCGCGATCTCGGCTCACCGCAACCTCCGCCTCCTGGGTTCAGGCAATTCTCCTGCCTCAGCCTCCTGAGTAGCTGGGATTACAGGCATGTGCCACCATGCCCAGCTAATTTTTGTATTTTAAGTAGAGACGGGGTTTCACCATGTTGACCAGGATGGTCTCGATCTCTTGACCTCGTGATCCACCCGCCTCGGCCTCCCAAAGTGCTGGGATTACAGGCGTGAGCCACCGCGCCCGGCCCGATTTTAAACATTTTAAATAAGGCCTTTTGACCTTAAAGGATACACGTGGGTGAAAAACCACCTTCCTCTAAATTTATTTTTTACTCACACACTAGGAAGAATGTTTTACTGTTAATAGTGGGTGGAAGGAAGGGATACTGAGTATGATGACCTATCTGTACTACCGAATATAATTTATCTTTTGATCTCCTCTGAGAATGATGCGAGCCTAATCTTCACACTGGAAAATCACGAGGAAAAAATCCTTCGGAGATCTACAGGCACAATGAACCCTGTCTCCACGCTGTTTGTAGCAGCTGTCTCAGGAATCCTCTCCCTAGAATGAATGTGGGAGAGGTTTGGTGGGGGCGGCAGCTGCAAAGCAAGGAATCTTTCCCTTTCCTCGTTGACTCGGTCTCCTCCCCTCCTCTCCCCGTCCCGAATGGTGGCAGCTGCCGAGGCATCCCAGTGGAAATCTCCAAGTCTCCGCCGAGTGCGGCGGGGGTGACTCCTCGCTCCCCTTGGGCAGGGACAGCAGTCTCACTGGCTCCAGCGCCGCCACCTCTCTGGCTCGGAGAGGTCCCTCAGGTGTTCTTCTCCAAGTCCAATGAGACACCTTGGCAGCGCGGGGCGGGTTCTCTACGTGCCAAGAGACCCTACGGTAACTTAACAACAGCAGGAGCCCCAGAATCCCCGCCTCAGCACTTGCAGAAACACCTTTCAGGTCCGAAAGTGAAAGCGGGGAAAGTGTAGGCCCCTGGACGGAAGGGTCTCTCCCCGCCGGATCCGGGACACACCTGGTGCTACGAGAGCAGGGCGCCCGCTGGCTGCGCGCCCTCACACCCGGTGCAGCCGGAAGCCCGAGCCCAGCACTCCAGTCCGCTCCAGGCCCTCTCCTCGGTTCGCGCGGTTGCCTCCGCCTTCGCGCCCTCCCGCCCCTCGCGCTCGCGCACGCGCACGCCGCGCCCGACAGCCCTCGGCGCTGTCATGGCGGCCGGGAGCAGCTTCAGTGGGCACAGGGACTGCCGCGCGAGCCGTGGCGGGGCGAGCTGTGGCAGTAGCATCCTCACCACTCGCAGCAGCCTCAGCCGTGGCGTCCGTAGCGCCGGCAGCGGCTGCTTTTGCAAAAGCTGAGCGCAGGGGAGGGGGCGGGCCAGGAAGCCATGGAGTTCAGTGCAGCCGCGGACTCCCGGGGAGCGGACTAGGGAAACTTGGAGGCTGCGACCAGGTGCACTGACCTCTCTGTCCTCCCTTCTCTCCTTGAGGTCGCCGCTCGGCTTCTCGGGCCGGCCCCCTCCCTTCCTGCCACCACACACACCTCCCCTCCTCTTCTCGTCGAATCTCAGGTGCTTGAGAGAGGTGTTCCACTCCTCCCCCTGGGCCGAGCGTTTAGAATATCACCGCCCCCTTCCCCCGCCTTTTCCTGCCCTGAATCTCCGCCGCCACCTCCGTCTCGCTGCTCCCGGGCCGGGGGTGAGGACGAGTCCGGAGTATTTGGGTGAGGAGGAACTTTCTACCTCTCTGGTAGCTTGGGTGCCCCCTTCTTTCCTCCGACCCCTCCTTTCCCCGCTACAGTTTCTCTTTCTGGTGCACCTGTGAGGAGAGGTTACCCTGCGCCTAGAACCTGCGCGATTGTGGGGGAGGAGTGAGCCTGTTCGGGGGCCTCTTGGACCCGCCTTCACCCAGAACCCAGCTCTTTGAGCCGGGGAGAAGTGAGTGGCTAGTACTGGGGTGCCTTTAGTAACTTATTTGACCGACAATAACTATTTCCCTCTTGTCCCCCCCCCCACAAACCCTAAAACAAAACCTAGCCTATTTAACATATATTTAATCTTCCAATAGGGTTTGGCGTTGTTGTCAGCCTCGGGGAGAGAGATTGGACAAATATTCTCCAAGACGAGGAGGGCGACGCCAAGGACTTTCCACATCTACTGCTTTGGGGTTTCTCCACAAGTTGGAAGAGAGACCCTTTGGTTTTGTGTGTTGTGCTCATTACCAGTGCAGCGACTGCTGTCCCAGGGTGACTCTGAGTTGTCCTTTCTCGTGAGCTAGCAATGGCTAGCGAAGACAATCGTGTCCCTTCCCCGTCACCAACAGGTGATGACGGGGGAGGTGGAGGGAGAGAAGAAACCCCTACTGAAGGGGGTGCATTGTCTCTGAAACCAGGGCTCCCCATCCGGGGCATCAGAATGAAATTTGCCGTGTTGACGGGTTTGGTTGAAGTTGGAGAAGTGTCCAATAGGGATATTGTAGAAACTGTCTTTAACCTGGTAAGTCGATAAATATTTTATAAGCATATACTCTTTTCAGTGGGTTGGGGAACAAGACCTTAAAGCTGGAGCCATGTGCTTTACTCACATTGATCGTGACTTTTTTCATAGATAGGAACACAAAATTCGAACTTAAATGAAGCAATTTCTTGTATTTTTTAGATTAAAGGGAATTGTGCAGACTTAGATGATCCAGGTTTTCTGAAAGTGAACACATCACTTTTGTGCTAAGGAAATAATTGTTGCTATGGAAGTACTGGGGAGAGGTTCTAGCGGAGGAGTTATCTATACGTTTTTTTTTTCTTGGCAAGTATGTCAAAGTCTGCGTTTCTCTTTACCACTTTAAGTTCTTGTGAACTTATTTTGGATTGAAAATTAATGTCTTTGATTCTGTCGAAGTCATGTTTTGCTATAATAAGTTTAAAAATTTTTGTAGGGGTGATTAAAGACTAATTTGCTGCACAGTTAGTATTTTTATTTTTGACTAATTTTATTTTTAGACATAACGAAAGTCAAATTGGGGGTGAATTTAGGATTACATTTAAAGTAATCTTGTGAAAATTGAATGGCAATATGAAAACGGGAATTGAAACAGATACAGTATAATCTTTATGTGTTTTATAAATTCATGTCTGGCAGTAAAGCATACTTAGTCATTGGAAGTTGCTGATTATACTAAGATGAACTATGAATGCTTTTTTTTCTGGGTGGGGGGTGGGAGCGGGGATGAGGCCTCTTTGTGTTGCCCAGGCTGTTCTCAGACTTCTAGGTTCAAGCTATTTTCCTGCTTCAGCCTTCTGAGTAGTTGTGATTATAGGCATGCATCACTGTATATGGCTTAAATGGTTTTCAAATTGAGGTATAGTTCACATATTATACAATTCGACCTTTAATTTATTAACTTATTTATTTATTTAGAATGAGGTCTCACTATGTTGCCTAGGCTAGTCTTGAATTCCTAGGTTCAGGTGATTCTCCCCACTCAGTCTCCTAAGTAGCTGGGACTGCTGGCATGCATCATTGCTCCTGGCTTGGTTATCATTTGTAATGGAGACTTTTTAGATTTCTTTATTCCAGCCTCTCTTGCTCATCGATCTAAATAATCAAGAGGAAATCTGGCTCTAAAATACTTGCCCCTTTTCTACGTACCCACTTGTGTTAGAGGGTAACAGGACCAAATATAAACATGCAGTAATAGTAATAACTGTTGAGCACCATTCCTTTGCCTCTGTTTTCAAGGTTAGGCTTGTTTTATTGTGGGGCAGTTAATTATTTCTTTCACTAGAGCTTCACTAATGGTCTGGTCACTGGCAGTACAACTTCTAGAATAAGAAAGTAGCTAGATGAAATTATGGCTGGGTGTGGTGGTTTACACCTGTAATCCCAGCACTGCAGGAGGCCAACGCAGGTGGGTCACTTGAGGTCAGGAGTTTGAGACCATCCTGTCCAACATGGTGAAACCCCATCTCTACTAAAAATAGAAAAAATTAGCCAGAAATGCTCGCTTGAACCCAGGAGGCGGAGGTTGCTGTGAGCCGAGATCTGGCCACTGCACTACAGCCTGGGTGACAGAGCTAGACTCAAAAAAAAGAAAGAAAGAAATTCACTTGCTTTTGGAGCGTGAAAACGTTGAACAATTGGATATTTCTATGCCAATTTATTGGGAGTTTATGTATACACTTGTGCATATTTTTTAAAAGTGCATATTATGGATATCTTCAATTATGTGGAAAAAATAGTATAGTATAATGAACACTGGTATCCATTGTGCAGCTTTAACATTTATCAACATTTTGGGGATCTTGTGTGTCTGCATGTGTGTGAGGCTTTCGTATGTAAGTCTGAAGAAGACAAATGGTAAATTGATTGCTTTATCTCAAAATAGACTTGAACAATTTCCGTTTTGATTTTTTTTTTCTTTTTTAAAACTTCATATCCCTTGGATGAGAAACAGAAATCTGTGATAGTAATATAATCCATAATTAGTTGTTTGTGTGTGAAGACACAACATTTTTTGGCAGAAGGAAGATTTGAACTCCTCTGTTCTTTAGAATGTGCTGTGTTGGAGTGGATGACCAAACATGAGTCATTTGCATTTTTATCATTAAAGAAAATCCAAATTCTATAGCGGTAGTTTGCTTATATGCTTCCTAGAACTATAGACCTAGTATAGATTTTAAGGTCATTGGTTAAGTCCTTCAAAGCTGCATATTTGCAGGATAGTAGGTGACTGGGGAGAAGCAGAGAGAAAAGTCTGTTCAATTACACCTCATCTTTAATGTCACTCGCTTGTCAAGTAGGGCAGGGAATGTTGCTGAGAGTATTAGTTAGCAGTTTCTCCCCTTCCATTGTCCCTTATAATACTTGTCATGCTCTTTCATGGATTATCTGGGATCTTGGCCACTCTAGAAAATCTTTGGAAGCAGCTGCGCACAGTGGCTCAAGCCTGTAATTTCAGTACTTTGGGAGCTGAGGCAGAAGGTTCACTTGAGACCAAGACTTTGAGACCAGCCTGGGCACCATAGGGAGACCTTGTCTCTACAGATAGATAGATAGATAGATAGATAGATAGATAGATAGCTGGGCATGGTGGCATATACCTGTAGTATATTGGAACTGAAGTATTGGGATTCTGTAAATAAGTCCATCTCAATATTGTTAGTACTGCTGCACCTAAATATTTCCTTATTGATAGCTGTTAGTTTTTTTTTTTTGAGACAGAGTCTCATTCTGTTTCCCAGGCTGGAGTACAGTGGTGTGATCTAGCCTCACTGCAACCTCTGCCTCCCGAGTTCAAGCAATTCTCCTGCCCCAGCCTCCCAAGTAGCTGGGACCACAGGTGTGCGCCACCATGCCTGGCTACTTTTTGTATTTTTGGTAGAGATGGGGTTTTACTGTGTTGGCCAGACTGTTCTTGAACTCCTGATCTCAGGTGATCCACTCGCCTTGGCCTCCCAAAGTGCTGGGATTAAAGGTTTAAGCCACCATGCCCAGCCTAAATATTAGCTACTTAAGCAATAAAGTTTATACTGTTAAAATTGAACAAGCTCCTCTTCTCCAGAGGTATCCAAATAGTACATGGTAGAGCCATATAAGTTTTCCAGAGTGAGTTCTTTCTTTCTTTCTTTTCTTTTTCTTCTTTCTTTCTTTCTTTTTCTTTTCTCTTCTCTTTTCTTTCCTCCCTCTTTTTCTTCCTTTCTCTCTCTTTCTCTTTTCTCTCCTTCCTTCCTTCCCTCCCTCCTTCCTTCCTTTTTCTCTTTATTTCTCTCTCTCTTTCTGTCTCTTACCCAAATCAAAAGGATCGACCGTCCATCTGTCCTTCCGTCCTTCCTTTTTTTTAAAAAAAAAATTGAGAGGGAGTCTCACTCTGTTGTCCAGGCAGGAGTACAGTAATGCAATCTCAGTTTACTGCAATCTCTGCTGCCCGGGTTCAAGCAATTCTTGTGCCTCAGACTCCAGAGTAGCTGGGTCTACAGGTGCACACCACCACGCCTGGCTAATGTTTTCTGTATTTTTGGTAAAAATGAGGTTTCACCATGTTGGCCAGTCTGGTCTTGAACCCCTGACCTGAGGTGATCTGCCCGCCTTGGCTTCCCAAAGTTCTGGGATTACAGGTGTGAGCCACCGCACCCAGCCCAGAATTTTTTCTTAAATGCTACCTCCCAACTTTGCTAATGTAGCTTGACCTTAATCTGTTACAAGTTACTTTGAAATTTACTACCCTGTTTGTAATTTCTTTTGCAAATCTGCTTTGCAGATAAATTTTGATGAACAGTATGCCAATGTAGTCAAGTGTTTCAAACTTCTGGTCAACTTGTACATTTTTCTATTTGCAGTTTAAAACCATTTTCTTTTGTCTTCATCTGTATGTTAAAGTAATTTGTTAAACTTTTAGAACCAGAATAATGGGTTGGCATGTTTTCAAGAACTTGCTGCTGAGTTTAAGCCTTCCATCAGGTATTTAAACGTATTCAGTGCTACTTAATTCAAGAATAGTGTTTTTCCCATGGGCTGGTGACAAATACATACTTTTATGATTTTTTTTTTTGTTAAATAATTACAGTCACCCCTTGATATATGGGGGATTGGTTCTAGAACCCCTAGTGCATACCACAATTTTCAGAAGCTCCAGTCTCTTTTTTTTTTTTTTTGAGATGGAGTTTCGCTCTTGTTGCCCAGGCTGGGGTGCAATGGTGCGATCTCGGCTCACTGCCGCAATCTCTGCCTCCTGGGTTCAAGCGATTCTCCTGCCTCAGCCTCCTGAGTAGCCGAGATTATAGGCATGCACCACCATGCCTGGCTAATTTTTTTTTTTTTGGTAAGAGAATGGGGTCTCGCTATATTGCCCAGGCAGGTCTCGAACTCCTGGGCTCAAGCTATCCTCCCGCCTCTGCCTCCCTAAGAGCTGGGATTACAGGTGTGAGCCACAGCGCCCAGCCTAATTTTGTATTTTTAGTAGAGATGGGGTTTCTCCATGTTGGTCAGGCTGGTCTTGAACTCCTGACCTCAGGTGATCCGCCGACCTTGGCCTCCCAAAATGCTGGGATTACAGGTGTGAGCCACCATGCCCGGCCTTCAGTCTCTTATATAAAATGGTGTAGTATTTGCATATAACTTACATGTATCCGTCCATATGTTTTAAATAATTTCTTCTAAAATTTCTTTGTAGACACAGGGTCTTGCTCTGTTGCCCAGGCTTGAGTACAGTGGCTTGGTAATAGCTCACTGTGGTCTCAAATTCTTGGGCTTAAGCTGTTCTCCTACGTCAGTCTCCTGAGTAGCTAGGACTTACAGGTGCGTGCCACTACAACCTGCTAGTTTTTTAACTTTTTGAGTCTTGCTATGTTGCTTAGGCTGGTAAATCATCTCTAAATTACTTATAATATCTAGTACAGTGCCTTCACATCACTTTATTCACGTGGTGTATTAGTCTGTTCTCATGCTGCTAATAAAGACATACCTGAGACTGGGTAATGTATAAAGGAAAGAGAGGTTTAATA